TTTGGAAAATTTAAAGATTTTCCACTTTAAATATCCATTTTGGTTTGCAGGTTACTACGTGTTTGCTTTCCAGCGTCGATATGTAAAATGTTGCCAAGACGACTACATATGGCTTGCTACGTCAATGTTTTCGAATCTTATGTAGAGGCTAAGCTTCTCACTCTTCATGCCCTAACTTTACAAAACTCTAAACCTTAATCAGAACATGTGATTTGGCCGTTCTGCTACCATCAAATAGCCGTGAGATAATGGTACTATAATTGTTTCTATATAAGTAAGTATAAGTACAATAATAGGTCTTGTAAAGAGTGTATTATTTTTATATTGCAATTGAAAGTAACTTAGTAGTCTAATAACTTCCAAAAGACTTCTCTGTGTGAAATAAAATAGAGAGAAAAAAGCAGTTGTTCTCAGTAAAAGGTCTCCCGCCGTAGATTTGCGAAACGATGGCAAAGTTTTCGACTTTCACAAGTTCCTAAACTGAATAAATGATATTGAATTTGAAAAGTTATATTCAAATTTGATTCGAAGATATTAAGTTATATTGGTTGATGGACCACTGGCTATGTATTAAATCATAAACATTTTATTTCATCGATGGGATCAAAGATTTAATGATATGAAGGACGGATGCCATAAACTTTTCTTTTGTTGATATTTTTAGCTGATTGCAGTGCAGTTCAGATATTTATTAACTATTAAATATATTAGTTGCTGACAAATACCTATTATGACAATAGACTTCCGCAAGGTAAGGCTTTATTCCATTAAATACTGATGTTTAACTACTTCATAAAGGTTACTAGCGTTTACGCCAGCGGCTTTGCCCACGTGGTTCCTAGAGAACTGTTTATTTGGATATTTATTTATATCAAGACACGGATATCCGTGTCAATTATATAATTGCGATGACAAATTGCATCTATAACAATGGTCACATTTGCTGTTTTTCGGGATAAAATATAGTTTATGGTCACCATATATGATGTAGCTTCCCGTAGATGTAAGATTTTTGAAGGTCCAGTAGTTTTGGAGCCTATTCAACAAACAATTAAATCTTTCCTCTTTATAATATTAGTAACTTTGTAAAAAAATACAGGAGCTTTGAAAGGTGATATTTTTATCTTTAGAAATAATATGATAATAACAGTTCACAAAAAAAAGTTTAAAACTAAAACCCGACTATAGCTAAATTTTATAGCGAAAAAATAAATTTATTCTATAGCTATAGCTATGTTATAATAGCGATGACCAAAGGACAACGTAGTCGTATGCCACAGACAAAACAGACTGTTGTGACATTTTATGTGTAGCTACTACAATATAGCTATGGCTTAAAATAAATTTCTTGTTTCAATCTTCTTAGATCGATAAATTTAGCTGTAATTGGATTTTACTTTTTGAACTTGTTTTATTTTCGGGTGTATTTAAGCAAAATCGCAAGCAAAAGCTATCTAATATATTTGAATAATATTTTTTAAGTTTTGTTCCTTTGCTCTCCTATCGGTGTTGCTAATTTAATTTAACGTCGTAAAGCCTATAACACGCGGACTACAGTTTCTAATGATGCCTCATATTTCTAGTTACGATGAGTATTTTTGAAGTTATATAAAGAATTAGATGAACATTCTTAAATACATACGGGCCATAATCATAAACCTCCTTTTCTCTTCGGCGTAGTCAGGTAAATATATGACTTGGTTATCCCAAAAGCAATGATATTAATAAGTACTTATAAAGGAAAGGAATAAATTAGGTGCCATTAGCAGTGTTATTGGAAAACAAGGTTTAGCGTTGGAGTAAATTTACACTGAGACTGCACTTACTAGTAGTCAAGTTAACTTAGTACGAGGTTCCACGGAAGTAATATTTACTCCTAGAAGGTAGTTTGCTTATTCTCTGTATAAAATGAATTTGGACTAATACTATAATTGCAATTTTATGTAAATTTACTTTGACTCTAACCCACTGTAAGAAAATAAGAGCTGAGAATTATGATGTAACGAAATACTCTGTAGGTAGTGTAGGTTACTCGGCACCAACTTGTAATTCGTTTAACAAACTTATAACCTTCATCCCTTGTTAGGGACTGGGCGGTGTTTGTTAGTGTTTGTCTGCCATAAAATAAATAAGCCTTCCATTCAAGTGTTACACATATAACAGTACCTACATTTGGATGCGGTATGTGAAAGACCGTTTGTATTATTATATAAGTACTCAAGTTTATTGTATGTTGATTAAACAAGTTCCGAATATAAATTAATTTATAACTAAATAACGTTACGATTATGATGAAATATTTATTAAAAGCATCATCATAAACGTTATGTTTTTCGCATTTTTATGTTTTAAAAATCAGTAAGTAGGTTTGCCTTTAATAAAGTAAATTATTAATTTGACAGTTGTTTTTTATTTCGGAGGAATAACGCAATATTCAGATATTACGTGTATGTTAGCTATATTTTTAAGTGTAAGTATATATTTCTGTATGTTGGTGTTGTCAATTTACACGATAAATCAATGATGAGTACTTTTAAAAGAAACTTAGAGAACACCGTAACTTTATTGAAATCGATTCAGTATTTTTAAGGTATAACCTACTAAAATGACTTTGAAAAAGGAGCAGTGTCTTTTTTTTATTTTGTCTATATATATCTACAAAATAAATAAAAAAACACTGGGGAATTTGGCATAATTCCACAGTTTGAAAATCATTGTGTAAGTTTTACGGGAATAAAAAAGTTTTTACAGTGTAAATGGTAAATAAATGGTACCTAGTTAAATGGAGCGAGGTTCGGCGTGTGCGAAGGATGACAGATGGTTTCTAACTGAAAGTTTTGTAGTCTGACGTTATCGCGGAATAATAACGTTGACGATCGATTGACGAGTCGTAATTATTATCCTACCATTTGTGCTATCATTGCTCGGAGAACTATCTGTAATAAATAAAGACCATGAACTGGAGAAGCAATTCCATACCTACAACAGACCCGTCAGAAAACGTAGTATTTTTTCGAAATCAGACCTTAGCTTTGCAAATAAAATGTTGAATTAAACAAAAAAATATGTGTGAACGACAGAATGAACACAAAAATGGGTAACTGATACTTAACTGCCGGCTTTTGGGAATTTTACTCCTTATTCTAAATGAATGAATGATTTATAAAATCAATTAGTAAAGTACATTAACTTTGAAATTTTCTTAAATATACCTATTCGAGATCGAGAAAAAACTCGTTCGCTATCTTTTCTCTTTTTTTATTAGATATTTTAGAAAATCTAGAAATAAAGCTACATTTAAATATGGGTGCTAAAAATTTGTGACCAAAACAAATTTCGGGATTACGTGAATATAAATAGATTCTATTCGGAAGAGCAGTGTTTTAATTTAGTTACAAAGAAGTAATTGTTTTAATTATTTAATTATTAGTTTTATTAGGATAACTGCTTTAATATTTGCACAGATAATGAGTTTAGACGGCAATGTATAGTTATCTAAGTTACATAATCTTAATTCCTTTATGGAGGAGAAATGCACCTTGATATTAATATTTAGCTGCTTTTTGGGGGATATGGATATAAATCAGTCATGGTAGTGCCTATACAAATAAATACCTATGTGTGTAAAATGTTAATTAGTTAAAAGCAATACAATACCTCTACAACATAATTTATAACTTTTTAAAGAGCAATATATATAATGATATTTAGGTTAAAGACATTGCTCCTATAAAAATCAAGTTTATTAAGTATACGTATTTATAGTATTTTCAATAGTGAAAACAACTTCCCAATTTTTTCGTACGCCGGTTTCAAATCTAAGTTCCCGGATTTGATTTCCGGTCGGGTCCTAGGAATATTTTCCAGGAATTGAATTCATACAAATCACTGCTATTTTATTAGGCAACTAACTGCCACGCTAATCGTGATATTCATCTTGTCTAGTATAAGGGAAGTTAATGGTCACATGGATGAAAAAGGTAGCAATGCAATGGAAATCGAACTCGTTTGTCTATAGAACTCTGATTATAGAAGTATCCGTCTTCACTTTATATCATAACTCTTATGATGTAGCTACCGCGTATGATGTAGCTACCTAAAAATAAAATAATTTTTAAAATATTATAGAGAGGAAAGATTCGATTGTTTGTTTGCTTCGAATAGGCTTCTAAACTACTGGACCGATTTTAAAAATTCTTTCACTTACGGAAAGCAATACAACACGTAATAAGTCAAAAAAAATGCGTGGTAACAAAGCTTCGAATAAAAATTTGTTAAAAAACTCAACTAAGCCCTGGCATTATTTTATCGGTATTACGTAACTGGCATAAAAATTTAAATGATGTTCCTTATAAAAAAAAGTCAGTTGTTAAGAATAGTACAGCGAATTTCTAAGGAATAAAAGAAAAGCATTTTTTTTTAAATAATAACGCCGGCGTCTATTGAAAGTCTCTGCTTGACAAAGGTCTTAATAAATCAAATTTTGTGACCCGCGTCTACGCTGAATGAAATACGCAAATGAGAATGAATATAATTGGATGAAACCTAATACCAATCGGATTTTACAATATTCATAGATTTTATTTTTATTTTAACGTAGTTCAAAGTTAAACGATCAGAGAAATTGAATATTAAAGAATTGCTTTCACAATTCAATGGTCTACTTTCATAATATTTTCTTTTTTGTAAAATATCGAACTGTTGAAATATATTACTCATATTTTATTTACTAATTACATTCTAAACTGACATAGAAATATAAATGTTTGTTGCAAACTTTAATGTTTGTGAGTCAGTTTAGAATGTCATTAGTTAGTTTTGATGCAAACGGACAAGTGAGTTTAAAAAAGAAATTCCTATAAAAAAAATTTAAAAGTTCTGATTTGGTTTTCATTTAAATGCATTTTAATATATTTTTAAAGTGAACCACTCAGAGGTTTAATTCACAAGGTAAATGTTAGCCAACCACTAGAGAATGCTTATAATTCAACATGACTTACCTCAATAGATCGGTCGTCATACGTGGACTGCAACTCAGGCCCAACCATTTCTAATATCTGGCGTCTTTCCTCGCGGAAGTCTGCAACAAAAACATAATATATGCTAACACAATAAAAAGTAATAAATAAACTCATTCAAATCATTACGTTAGCAAAAATCCAGAAGTATGACAACGTAGTTAAAGAGGTGTGACATAAATAGTAAACAAAGTTGATTAAAAGCAAAGTTGCTCCCAAAACCACCTTGGTTTACGTTCAATTTTACAACTTTTGATGGAAAAAAACTATTTTGTGAGATTGGTACATTTTTGTACATATTATTTCGTCGATAGGACTTTTTAATTTATCTCTTTGCCTGCGTAATCAACATGAATGCCAAATTAAAACTATTGGTACTAGCCAATAGATTTTGAGCTAAACAGCGGACGGACGGCCGGACAGACGGATATGGCAAGACTAAAAGGGTTCCTTGTTTACCACGGAACCAACAAAACGAGTGTAAAAATTGAAATGTCAGTATTTTGTTGCTTTATAGACTACATAATAACTGTTTCATAGTTTCGAGCTTGTAAATCCGCCAACAAAAAGGTACTTTAGATTTTTGGTGGATCAGTGAGACAATCATTGACAAAAGTTTATCGGATTTAATGTAATTTATAATTTTATTAATCTTTGGAACCCCTCTTAGTCACTGAAAAGGTTAGGTTAGATAGTTTCACAACGAATGAAATAGCCTTGAGAAAATGAACCATACTACGTGCCTTTTTGCTCGCCTTGGTCGGGGGTACTCCCCTACCCCAAATGTTCATACATATGTTATGTATTTTGTAATGGCATTATTTCTTTTTACGCAGAAATTCTGCCAACATCCTCTGTGAAAGACACGCAATTCTCAAGAGATTTTTCGGTACCTATAGTACGTTTACTTCTTAACGTGATGTATATTTATTTACTTCCTTATTATTTAAGTGACTTTCGGTTAAAGGAATGTGTTCGGAAGTACTATTCTATAACAAAATCAATTGTAACAATAATGTGTTTTAATTAAATAAAACTGACTTCAAAATGTAATAAAAGTTTTATATCATTACAAGTCCATTTTCATGTAAGAACTCCGTATTCCAGTTACGAGTGAAAAACCACAAAGATTTACTGCTAATGTAAATCGCAACGTTTCTTGTTCAAGTCGGACACGACGAGCACATCATACTAACTCCAGTTTATGATTCAACTCGTAATTCTATTCGAAACGAAATACTTGTATGGTCCATAAAAGCATTTGTAATCGAATGTTTATACGCTACGCAAAATAATTTCTGAATTCATACGTGAATAATATGGGTTTTTAAATTGTCATAAGTCGGAAGAGGGGGCAGGTTTTCTATATTTAGCTCAGAATATCATGAAGCTCGTTTTGAAGGTAGACTTGAAGTTAAGATTATATTATTTAAAAAAATCTACATAAGAGTAGATCATTGAGTGGGTAAGGAAGCACGGAACTATGGAATATACGAGTAAAATATATTCTATATATTTTGTAGCAAGGTTTTTTTTAATATTTTGAGCATGTCGTCAGGAAAACAAATACAACCTCTAAATATACTCGTATACGTCACTGGAAAGATCTAAAGGAAAATGCCAAGAGGAAGTAGCTCTATGTGATGGACAGATCAAATTCGATCAAACGTATTCTAGCCTCAATGAAACCATCCACGCAATAGAAGATCGAGAAAGGTGGTGGAACTTGGTTTGAGACCCAATTAATCATAAAAACCATGATCCTCAGTAGTGAAAAAACTAATCAAGGAGGAGAAATTGAATATTATTATTATATAAGGTAAAGGTAATGCCAATATTATTAAAGACTAAAATACTTGAATTAGAAAATATCAATACATAATTAATGCAAAACATATTTATATTTTTCAGAGCGAAATATGGTTATATTACACTCTGAAAAATATATAAATCCGATTAACGAATACCTTAACAACTCTTATATATGCCGTGATTAATAATAGGAATTATACATAATATCGTTTTTAAAAAAAATATTAATAAAATCACAGAAACAAATTTTCATATATTGTTTCTGCGAATAAAATAAAGAATTAAGCTGCGAAACAAACCAGCGAAATATGTTAGTAAAAGGTGGTAAAAGCTTAACTTGTACTGCTTCACATAATGCCACAGTTCACGTACAGTTGTGTAGTCACTAAGTTTTAGTAGAACAAGCTTAAACTTCAATAACTTAGTTGAAATTCTAGCAGCATTGCGGCTTTACCAAGTAAACATACTTGCATTTATGTCTCGCGTTTGTTGTTAGGTGCAATTTTGTTGGAGTTATTTCATTACACTTTCCGTGTTAGCGCGCGTTATGTGTTTTAAGTTAGAAAATATTTTTTAAGAACGACTTCAAACTTTAAAAATGAGAAATAATATTTATCTTAAAAGCGGCTTAATTATCTAAGAAACTGCTTAATTTTGAAATTAAACATATTGAAGTTAGTTAAAAACGGACGCCTTTGAATGCCCGAAAAAGACTTCATAAAAAACTTTAGGCTCACTAAGGGCACAATGTAACCGGCTTATTAGGGCTTATATTTAATTAAAACTTCAATTATGAATACACCATCTAAGTTTTCAAATAAAAAAAAATTAAATTACGAGTATTTTAAATTAAATCTTTATAAATGATCTTTACTCTTTGGTGTAAGCAGGTATCTTAAAAAAGATTATTAGACATGCATATATATAATAAACAGACATGTATAAAGACAAAAAGAAACAAAAGAAACTGTTGACAGATAAATGTCGCCCACAAGAACTTCATAAAACTCTGTTATATGAAGTTGTTTGTGGGCTATAACTCTGTCTTTCCATTTTGGTGCAGTGTTTTAGTTTATGGCAGTAGCGATGACGAAAATAAAAATCTCCCAATAATGTACACGATTTAAAAATAACTAAATATATTCACTATCTTACAAACACAATTCAATAAAATTTATTTATATTCATTTTCCAATTATTCAATCTTAAAAATATAATATAGAAACAAATTCAGAACATTATTCTAATAGAGAGTATATATCAATTTATCTATCTTCTTTTTTATTGCTCTTTTTATAATTGCCAGAGTGTTTCAATAAATCTATGATGATGAACTCTTTACGTGAATGTGAAATGTCTATGTTTATGTTAGTAGTGAATATATATAAATAAATAAATATGTAATGTTGTATGTTCCCCACAAGTTGTATCTGTTATTTATATTAAATACGGTGCTGTTTTAGTTATATCATATCTAGTGTATAGTATTGCGTGTAGTATTGCGAATTTCATAATGGATAAAAACATCGAACAAAGAGTTTGTCTTAAATTTTTCATCGACAGTGGAATTTCGTGTTTGGAGTCACTGAAAATATTACAGAAAACTTACGGTGAATCGACTTTATCAAAAACTCGTGCTTATGAGTGGTGCAAGGCGTTCAAAAGCCGTGGAGATATGATGGAAGATTTGCCTCACTCTGGTAGGCCATCAACGTTTACGACTGAAGTTAACTTCCCAAAAGTGAAAGAAAAAGTGACTGAAGATCTTCATTAAACTTTGAGCGAGATAGCCGCCGATCTTTCTGTATCTCACGAGTCGATCCGCACCATTTTAACTAATAATTTGGGTATAAGACACTTTGCCGCTCGGCTTGTCCCCTACAGCTCGATAAAGACCTGATTTTTCTCCAAAAACTCAATCGCATGGAAGTCGCTGAGGACATGTTAGAACGAGTTAATTCCGACCCAACATTGATGAAACGCATTTTTACTAGTGACTAGGTGACGTGGGTTTACGAGTTTGCAAACTAGTCAACAAATTTCGGAGTGGCGCCTTCCAACTGAAAAGAAACAGAGTAAATCACGCCTAAGTCGTTCAAAAGTCAAAGTCATGTTTACTGTTTTCTTTGACTATCGTGGAGTTGTGCATTCGGATTTCTTGTCGGAAGGTCAAACGGTACATAAGGAATGTTATTTGAGCTTTATGCGGCGTTTATGAGTGCAAATTCGACGAAAAAGTTCTGACTAGTGGAAAGAAAATTCTTCGATTTTTCATCACAATAATACACCTTCGTACAAGGCCACAATTGTGAACGAATTTTTGAGCAAACACTCAATAAATACCATCGAGCGACCACCACTCGTTTTCAATAGGTAGAAGATATAAAGGAGAATTCGCGGCGAGAACTGAACTCAATTCCGAAAATAGCGTTTAATAAATGTTTTGATGATTGGATTATTCGTTGGCGTAAGTGTATCGTTTCTGAAGGAGCATACTTTAAAGGTGATAAAATAAATAATAAACAGTGTATTATTGATCTTTTCCCGGTACTTTCTTGACAGAGTAGTATTATTTTATTTTTCATATTTTAAATTATTTAAAGTTAAATATTCTTTAGTTAAATTTAATTATCATGTAATAAATCTCTCGAATTATTGTAAAATAATATTTTTAAACAGCGTGGTAGCATAGAAATTAATCCCACTGGCAACTGTATTGGTTTTCGATTGATAAGTCGTTGAGATTTTGATCCTATCGAGTTGAAGTTCTATTGTAGTCAGTCCAAGCATCACCTGAATCACACTTTTGGATAGGACTTCGATTGAACGATTTATAAAATATTAGCGTTATTAGGATTGTTCACAGTTACGTTAATTGGGCTACAGGTTTTGACCATTTTAAGTTTAGGACGTAGTTTTGGCCATTTTAAGAGTTACGAGGAAGTGAACTTTGATACATCACAAGTGTCAACGGAATTAGTTATGTTATAATTCGATATTTTAAATAATGTATATGGTACACTCTACCATTTACCTTTGCGTTATATACAGCACTTTGAAGGCCCAAAAGCCCTTATGATGAAAACAGTTGTAGTACCGATCATTAAAAATAAAACGGGTGATGCGAGTACAGCTAATAACTACCGACCGATATCTCTAGGTACTGGTTTAGGAAAAACTTTAGAGCGACTGTTGCAACCCGAAGTGTCCAAAAACATACAGATTGACGATGCACAGTTTGGTTTCCGTCCCGGAGTCTCTACGGATTCCGCTATTTTAACCGTCAAACATACTGTTGACTATTACGTACGCCGGAAAACATCTGTATACGCATGTTTTCTGGATCTGAGCCGCGCATTTGATCTGGTAAATTATGATATTCTCTGGAGAAAATTACGCGGCACAGATGTCCCGGCTGAAGTGGTGGATTTGTTCGAGCATTGGTACGGAAACCAAACTAATTATGTAAAATGGGGCGACGCGACCTCTAGTAACTACAAGCTAGAATGCGGTGTACGCCAAGGAGGGTTGACTTCTCCGGATCTCTTCAATTTATATGTCAATGACTTGATCAAGGAACTGAGGGGCGCTGCCATCGGCTGTCACGTTGGTAACGTTTGTGTTAACAACTTGAGCTATGCCGATGATATGGTGCTCCTCAGTCCCTCGATCAAGGGGCTCCGTAAACTTCTTTCGATTTGTGAGCATTATGCTGATGCTCACGGTTTGAAATATAACGTAGCAAATCAGAAGTTATGGTATTCAGAGCAAGGAAAGGTCCGGAGAACATACCAGATGTGTTTTTAAATGGTTCGGCACTTCGGGTGGTACAACAGTTCAAATATCTTGGGCATATTCTTACAGAGAATCGAAAAGACGATCTCGATATAGAACGAGAGAGAAGAGCACTATCTGTTCGTTGTAACATGCTCGCGCGCAAGTTCGGTAAATGTAGTGATGAAGTCAAATTAATTTTGTTCGGCTCATACTGTCAATGTTTTTACACTTGCCAGTTATGGTCCAACTTTAACCGTACTTCCTACAGCTCCATAAGGGTACAATACAATGACGCGTTTCGAATCCTTATGAAATATTCAAGGTACAGCAGCGCGTCGAGCATGTTCGCGGACGCCCGTACAGCGGACTTTTATGCTGTTGTGAGAAAGCGCATAGCTTCGTTTTGGACGAGGATTTGTCTTTCTGATAATAGCATAATCAGAGCCGTTAGTTGGGGTTTGGACAATCCTATATATAAGTACTTGGATTTCGGTGCACCAGAGCGACAACAGAAAATAACGTTTGACAATGTATAATACTACTGAATTTTATTTTAGTAATTATTATTTTATTTTATGTAACTTTTATTTATTTTTACTTGTACTTTATTTTTTGGAAATTATGTATTTGACTGTTTATTGGGTTTTTTATGCCTATCAATAAATCATTATTATTATTAAAGAGGCTAGCCGCTTAAACTAGGTCATCTGCTCTAAAAGTCCTAGGACCGTCTGTTTGTACTCAAAATATTATATAAGCTTTTTCATGGATTTTCGCCTATTGTTGTATAGGGTATTCCGTATATCAGGTTGGCTAATAAATAATGAGCGACACGCGCAACTTAAATTTTTATTTATAAAATAATAGCTAATCATTCACAATAAAATCACCGTCGTTACCTACGACTATACGCCAGCGATTAGGCAAATATTGGATATTGGATTGCAAAGACTGTAAAACTTTGCCGGTTTGGATTTGAAAAAGACATCTATGTACTGTTGTACCTGGGGTTCATCATGAAACCGTTTTTAGCGCAAATGATTACAAAGTGACCAGAATAAACTAAAATCTGTTGACGCTAAGTCCGGTGGAATATGGAGGATGTGGAACTAATTTTACTTATTAAATCAGGAAAAATATTTTGTCATGTTGTTGACGCTTACGCTTACGATGAAGTTCAAGCTTCAGATTATTGAGTTGATTATAGTACACGTTCGCTGTAATCGTGGTACTGATAGGAAGAATTTCCCAGTATATTATGTACATCCCACCATACCGAGAGTATCACCCTGCAAGGATGAAGATCTTTTTTTGTCGTAGGGTTGCCTGGTTCGTTGCGGCCTAGCCACTGTCGCTGGTATGTATGGTTAACATACATAACCCACTTTTCGTTTCCAGTGACGAGATGATCTAGCCAGTTTAATATACGATGAAATCATGATAGCTGTATACATATTCTCTGCAGGGTAAGCGATTTGATCCTTGATCAGCTGATGGGGTACCCAAACGCCAAATTTGTAAGACTTTCCTAATGCATGCAAATTATTTTCAATCGTATCATGAGAGCAACCAAGCTTTACACCCACATTACGAGTAGAATCTTCTTCAATTAACGTCTTCAGTTTATTTATATTTGTTTTGGTTCTCGACCCTACTCAAAGTTTCTAGAAAATGAAAATTAAAACGCTCTTTACTTAAAGCCATAATAAAATGCAGCACTTTGCGCAAATGATTACTGAATTTAATGGAAAGCGATACATATCGATTACTTTTAACGTAAACGCCTTTAGTTATTCACATATCAAAAAAGCTATCGTACTACCTTTGCATCCAGTACGCTACGAAAATTTAAAGCGCATTTCATAAAGGTTGGTTTGGGAGAACGGCTTACCAAAAATTTGTTTATTTAGTTCCTTAATTGTTTTTGAAGCAGATTATAAATAGGCTGAAGATAATTATTGTACGGTAGTTTTTGACTTCAAGTGCTTTATAGCACAGCTTTATAGCAACAAGTGAAATACGTTTCAATTGTAGTTTTGCGATCTATTTATCAGTACGTATTTAGGTTGATTTTAGTACTAGAGCTTTGAAAGAACATTGGGTGTATGTGGACGGTCTTTAATAATTAAATTAATGTGAACTCACCATTGTAGACAGAGGCCACATAGACCTTAACTGTCCTCGGCCCTGGCCATTTGTCGTTGCCATCTATGTGGCCTTGCAGTGCTTGGAGCACGAACGGCTCCGGAGCGCTCATCGCGCCCCACTTCACCTCACCCCGCGCCCCTCACTCCTCGCCACGGCATTCTGGAAATTAAAACTCATGTAAGTGTTGTAGACTGATGATTTTCGTATTTTATTCGAATCTGCTAGTTAGAAGAACAGTAGCTCGAACAGTGAAATGGGTATATACTGAACTTGTGCTGTAGTAACTCCGTCTAAGGTCTACTGAGACAGTTTAATTTTTAGGATTCCAAACCCAAAGGAAGGAAGAAGATCACGACATCACTACATCCCTACCCGAGTTCTGCGAGCAGCCCTCACTGCTTCCGATCGGAATCGATGGAGAAGGATTGTTAGTTTGACGAGTTCCAGTGACCACGATCTTCAGTAATGAGCGTCAACAACAAAGACAGACCCAAAGGTTAAAACGGGAACCCTATTACTAAGATTTGACTGGCTGTCTGTTTTCTGTCTGTCACCAAGCTTTATCTCATGAACCGTGAAAGTAAGACAATTGAAATGTTCACAGATTATGTAAATACATAATCTTTGAACTGCTTCAACAACAAATACTAAAAACAAAAATATAATCAATATTTAAAGGGCTCTCATATACCAAACGTGAGTTTTTCGTTCCGTACTCGGTACAAAACACTTCGTGCGCGATTCGGACTTGCACTTGGCCGGTTTGTCGTTAAGGTCTGTATCCGTTCGATTCTGCAAAATGTTGGTAAACAGCCCGGTATACGCTTCATATAGTTTCATTTTGATATTTTTTTTAAAGTTATCTTAATAGTCATATCCAATCGAGGGGGGGGAAGACTTTTTTTTAACTAGTATAGTCTTCTTATTTAAAAATGCTTAAAAAACCTACCAGATTCAGGAACTCTGAGCTGGTCACCTGGGACTTAATATAAGATACCACGCGAGAGGGTAGTACGGGGGGTTTTGCACGGTAGGCCCACTGCACTGGACCGCCGTCCCTTGCAGTGGGAGAGCCCGGGTTCAGTCGGCCTCTAGCCCAGGTCGATGGCATGTTAAGGTCAGTTCCCATCGGTATAAAGAAAAGGTACTCTGAGCTGGAACTGATAATTTGTCAGTCCTATTAGGTCCTGGGTAGATCAGTGGTTAGTGCAGTCGCCCGGATTGCGAAAGGTCGTGGGTTCGTGTCCCATCTCTGGGTACCTACGGCTAGTGGATTTTTAAGCACTTTTAATTCAACATATTTTCCTGTATAGCATAGTGAATGTAAAATTAATCAAATTTAATAGTATAGTTTTCTTTTTACCTGACTACGGTGAATCGAAAAGGAGGGTTATGATTTGACCGGTATGTATGTATATATGAATGTTCATCTGTTCCATTATAACTTAGAAACTACTCATCGTAATTGGACAAATCAGTTATTATAAGAAGTGTCTTAGTTGTCCGCGTGATATAGGCGAATACGACGTATGTGACGTCATATTAAATTAGCAACAGCGCCCTCTAGAGAGCATAAAGTAACAAACTAAAAAAAATGTTATTCAATAATTCCGTGTAGGGTTTTCTTATGCTAGATAGGCAAGCACTTTACCACATATCAACCATCAGTGCAGCAATGCAGGGGTCTAAGATGGAGCGTGCTTGCTTAGAAGGAACCGATTCACTATTAATGATAGGGCTTATTTACCACATTTCAAATATAATATATATATTCACCTCCTGCACCACCTGCTTAAATACACCCAATCATTAGTTAAAAAAATAATAAAATAAATTTCTTGTTTCAAACTTTTTAGAGCATGATTTAGCTTCAGTCGGATTTTAATTTTTGAACTTATTATTTTTGAGCTTATATACGTAGTCCAAATTATGTTTTGTAATTATTATTAAAACACCATGTGACATTTTGAAAGCAAATTCTGAAAAAAAATCTTGCGTAAAGACGAATAAATACTGTCATGGATAGTTACATTTATGTCATTACGGAGGCTGATAAATGTAGAAATATTTCCAAGGAAAACGATGTCCATTTGTGAGGGATGCTCGTCCTATTACGCAAGCTGAACCTCGTTATACAAATCACCGATTGCGTAAGTTCAAATTATCATAATCTGTTTTGTTTTTATAATAATGTATTTTATTTACTTGAATAATTATATATTTTGTGGTCAATAAAATTTTTATCTTATTTTATTAGATTTTTCGTGACATTGGTTTTCAACTTTTGGAATATGACAATTAATTTTGTACTTTATTTACTTAGCACGATTAACCTCCATCTAAATTTTTGGACACCCATCCTATTGCGAAAGTTGCTTAACAACCGTATTGCAGACTGAGCGCACTAATACTGCGCCGTCGAGCTCCATCGTATTTATTTACTATTGTTATTTAAAGATATGAAATCCCTTTTGAGGTAGTTGGTGTTTCTTAGCATTTTTCTTGTACAGCGGAAAATCATTAGTCTTAATTTCGACTTTTGGGGAAGTTTTAAGTAATGTATAAGTCATGGAAAACGGAAGATATCCCTTACTTTTAAAGATTTCTACGAGAATATAAATATTAAAATACTTTTTAATATTTTTATATTTCCTAAAACATTCCTCTTTTCCATTTAAATTTGCACATTGACTTATTGACTCTCCTAACAAGTCAAACATTATATTACGAAGTGTTAAAGTGTATTTCGGCATCATTAGTGCCGTGAAATTCGGAGAACATTTCCGATTCGTTACCTAAAACGCAAGCGTCGAAAGTTGTAATAATAATGAGGTACTGATTTGCATTAACTCATCAAAAGCAGCTTTGTTTTATAATACACTATAGATTTTCCCGCGACCTCGCCTATGTAAATGATAGCCTACGTCACTCTCGATTTCTGAGTATTTCCGATATTTTTTAGCAGTGCACAAATTTTTCCAATCGTTGGGTATCGTTATTAGGACATTTACGAATTACTTACTAAAAAAGAACATTCTTAAATAGGTATGTACTGTTAACTATTTAATTATTTCATATTACTATACGGGTAATACTATCATTCTAATGTAAATGACTATAAATATTTAAAACAACAAATTTAATATTTCTTATTTTTCATTATATAACGAATTTCTAATTTTTCATTATAGTAGTGTAATGATGCGTCGTACCACCGTTTATTTCGTCCTAGGTTTCCGCATGAAAACTTTTTGTCTTTGATCTTCAGCAGTATTTATTTTTTTATTCACTTTTCGTAATTTTAAATTTTAAGTAATCCTTATGTTCTGCTCTTTATGAATGCCAGTTCGTAAAAAATAAATTCGTCGAGAAAATGATAATTTAATCATATTTAATTATATAAATCCAATATAAATTATTATTATTTAAATAAGAAACATGTAAACGTATGTACATATCTTCGCGAAATATCTACTAAGTTCTACCTATTACGGAAAACCAAGAAACGGGGTATGCAATTGTTCTATTTAACTATTTTTATATATTTACTTAATCATACGATCTGTCCTTATATTCCTTTTTTGTTTGTTACATTGTTTTCTTATTACCCTTTAATAAATCAAGTTCTCGAGCTTAGTCAGCCTTTTATTCATTTGCCAAACCCGTCGAACCCGTCACAGTATTAGTCAACATATGGTCATCATTCTAATTCTACAGTAGGTATATCATAAGTAACGACGTGTTTATTTATAGACGTTTTTTTATTTCTTACGAACACGATATTAAGTTTTGTGTAATGATCACAATTTTTTCCTGTATAAACATCGTTCACATATAATGATATGTGAACGATGTTTAACTAATCCACATTAACCCACTAAATCACCTGAGTAGTTCAACGGGTTGAACTAATGACACTTTTATTAACAGTAGTTCATCTACGTATTTAATGGTTGAACTACTGAGACCGTTGTTCCCTTTAAATCAAATCAAATCAAATCAAAACATTTATTTGCTCAAATATTGTGTCAGTACAGTTGTTACATAGGTTTCATGCTCAACAATATTTTGCCTTATATAGTAGGCGTGCAAATATTAGTACCCACAAAATAGTCTTAGAATATTGTATAATGTAACTCCTTGCTGATAAGCAGTGTTTGATCCCAATTCGAATGTCAATAGACAGCTATACTTACTTGTTAACTCTGATTATGATTGTACTCTGTTAATAAACTGTATAGTACGTAGTAAAACAAATCTATTATTTCCAACAAAGAGATCGTGAAAAAAATGTGCAAGAGCTTTTTAAATCTATATATTTTAGTGTTGAAGTACTACGGGTATATCCAGTGCGGAGGTCAGGTGTTGGATGACCTGGAGGCGGCGGGACCTATAAAGTAAAAACGGGTCGTTTTTTATAGTTTAAAATCAGTGAAAAACTTCTTCTTTGTACAAACAAGCATAGTAGACTAGTCGGATCGTACAATCGTGAAATGAGGCGACTTAGAAGATCTCCGAAGTTGGTATAAATATGCACTCTATAAAAAGTTTCGTAATTATTGAAAGTTACTTTATTACTAAATTATTAGTATTAAATTCATAAAAAAATACCCAGACTTTCAATTAACAGAACAAATATATTATAGAATCGCTAGAAGTAAGCAAATAGTTTGTTTCGAGCTGCTGCCACCACGTGTTCCAGCACATGACCTCCGCATTGAGTATCGAATTATGTACTACCCTTAGTACTTCAACATACTTTAGTAAATTTTTGTCTTTAGCTCTCCGTCTATAAATATGTTAAAATTTAGTCTTACTGGGAACAGAATTCCACTACGGAGTTTACAAAATAAGTTATTTAAGTACCTATCATTAGGTATGATTGTTTCAGCGACTTATAAATTGGAAGTTGAAAACATGGTCTCTCAATTGAAGCAACAAATAATCTTAGAATATTATTCAGAATAATTAATTCTAAGTTCTAAACAATAGTTTTCGTCGTGAGATGAACGAGGTAATACTGTGACATACATTGAAAACTCATTTGATAGATTGTTGGCATTACAAGTATTACATGTCTTGATACAATATTATAGTGTTATTATTTTAACATTATCATAGGTGAAAAGAAGGGAATAAAAAATAAATTTTTAGTGCAA